CTCCCTTAGCCTTCCCAACACTTACTTTCTGAGGAAAGTGGAGAGGGGTTCAGTGGGGAGAACCTAAGGTGTGACCCAAAAGAGAGGCAGCTCCTAGACCACGGGAACTGCTTCTGTGCATGTGTGTCCCCCTCCAAGCCCGACTAGCCCAGGCCCCAACTCTCAGGGACAGAAAACTAAGAAATGATCTCCCAAGGGTTCTCCCGACAGGCTCCAGGCCCGGCCTTGACCTTCACTCATCTGCAGCTTATGTTAAATGTTCATGATGGCAGATTAATATTGATGATGGTGGCCTCTTAAAACCTCAGTGATAACTTCTAAAATATAGATTGGGGGCCCTTCATGAAGGTGAGACCTTCTTCCCCCACAACACAGATCAAGACCCAGACGCCACATGGTGGGTGATTGCAGGACAATGTCGTGGCGGGGAACCTGGGCCTGTCTCTGCCCTCGAAGTTCTGGAACCACAGAACATCAGGCCCAGGAAGGGCCTTCTCATCAGCCTGCTCAGGCTCTCCCCTCACAGATGCAGAAACTGAGGACCAGGGAGGAGAAGTCACTTGATGAAACCGCTCAGTGAGAAGCAGGTCACAGGCCAAGGAACCAGGTCTTCTGACTGCCAGGCTGCTGCCCTCCCCGTACCAATGGAAAAGGGAAAATACCCGGGAAAGATTTACACCAAAACATCTCTTTGATCCTCCTCTGCTCACCTGGGCCACCTCTACCCTCCTTTTTTCTAATGCTTAACCTATGACCCCTGACCATGACAATCACACAAGACTCCTTTCATCTGTTGCCCTTGGCATTTGGACTCAGAGGACATCTGGTTTTATCTAAATGTTGGCACAATCTAGAAAGGGCACAGAGCGCCCAAGGGGCAGAAATGGCCGTAGGAGGGATAGTTGGGTGGGGCAGGGCCCATTGCTGGGCAACCAGCTCCCTCTGTTGCCTCAGTGACAGCCCCATCAGAGGTGGCCATGGGCAGCTCTGCGTGTGCCTGTGAAGTCTCCTGTCTCTTTAGCACCAGCTGACTGGAGCCACCTCCTCCGCTGCAGACCGCCTCCTGCACACATGTGAGGCCCCCCAGATGTGACCACTAAGGCCCTTTCCTGCCTCGCTTCCTTATTCTCCATCACAGAGTTGCACGCTTCAGCTGCCCAGTGGCCAGCCTCTCGGGTCACAACAGCCTTGAGCCTGCCTCCAGACCTCCACTCAAGCAATTCCCTCCACCCAGTGGATTGCTGGCATCACTGGTTCCTTGGGACAAAGAGAAAGGAAGAGGGGGTGCACCAAGGATGCTTGGCGGTTGCAGAAGCTGCCTCCCCAGAGCGAGGCTTTCTGCTGCCTGCCTTTTGGGTGACTGAAGAAGCCTGAGAGATAGACATCCATTCACTCAACAAGCATTCAGCTGGCACTGCTTATGCCCACTCTGCCATGCCCCAGGAACACAGGGCACAGGGCTCAGTCTCTGCTGCTGGGACTAGCAGGGGAGTCGACAAGTAAACAGACAGGTATATGCAGGTGGATGTGTCCATGAAGAAGAGAGCTCAGATAGCCGGGAAGCACCAAGAGGCATCCACCTCATCCATACCTGGGGGAGGGAGCCGTCTGCATTAGTAATACCCCCAAGAGGCCAGGTCCTAGTCCCCAGAACCATGAGTTGCACATTAAGTGACAGAAGGAACACTGCAGACATTAAGGATCTTGAGAAGGGGAGCGTATCCTGGCTTATCTGGGTGGTCTTCAATGTAATCACAAGATTTTGGAAGAGGGAAGAATAAGGTCAGAGAGGTGGGAGTAGTAGGGAAGGGTCACAAAGCAAGGCACACAGGTGGCCGACACCTTGGTTTTTGCCCCACAAGATTCATTTTGGACTTCAGAACTGGGAGAGAACAAAGTTGTGCACATCACCATATTTGTGGTGATCTGTTAGAGGAGTCACAGGAAAGTAATAGGAATTGGAAGACCTCGGGGAGGAGCTGACCTCTGGCAGTTTTAGAGAATAAGGAGTGACTCCAGCAAAGGACAGAGGAGTCCTCTGGGGCCAAGGCCAGAAGCAGGACTACTCCTGGCACTTTTGTTCCCAGACGTTGTACAGTGAAGATATTTTTTTCCAGGAAAGGGGAAGGTCACCTTGTCAGGTGAGGAAGGAGAGAGCCAGATCACACAGGGCCCTACGAGCCAGGGTGAGGAGTTGGAGTGTGTCCCTGGGAGCAATGGGGGAGGGGGGAGTTCAAGGTCATAAGCAAAAGGTAGCTGAACCACATTGGAGTCTTAGAAAGGTCAACTTGGGAAGGAAGAAGGGATTGCAGAAGCCAAGCATGGATGAGAGTGACAGGCACAGCAGTGACAGGCTGCTGAAGAGGCAGGGATGAGCTCAGCAGGAGGAGTGGGCTGCCCAGGTACTACAGGAAAATGGGCAGGCCCAGGAGAGTCCAGCGATACGCGTTAGGTGGCGCCATTGGCCATTTTTAGGGAGCTGGAACGGGAGACTGGAGGAGGCCCAGGGACTATCTCAGAGGCAACTAAGAAGGGCCACCCTGGAGTTCCTGCCTCAGGACTTAGTGCAGGTGGGAGAAGCACTCAGCGAGATGCCAGCTGAGTTCTGCCAGAGGACTTTACCCTCAAGAGGCCGGAAGGAATTTACTTGAAAGAGGGAATCCCACCCAGAGAACCTGTGCAACCAGCCTCAACCCACCCCCCAGTCCTCCCCACCCGCTCACCAGCAGGCACCTTCCCCTCACAGACCCAGACAGAGGAAGCCGCCAGGAATGTGCCCCTTCTGAGAGCCCGCGACTGCCCTTGCTAAGGCTGGGGCATCTGCCTAAGTCCTGGGGAAACCCCTTCAGCTTCTTTTATTCCAAATTTCCTTTTGAAACATGGGCAGAATCCACCCTGGACTCGGGGCTGGGAAAGCTGCTCACCTGTTGACTTTCCACATCTCCCGTGTTGCCCGCTGCAGGGTGTGTGTGGGGGGGGATCTGGGGGTAACTGTGGAACCTGGTCTTGGTCGGGGTCTATGAAGCCTTCATTAGCAAATGACAAGGAAACAGATGGGGAAAGGGTGCTCAGCATTATGAGAAATCAGAGTTACCTGTAAAACATCCTCACAGTCAATGATGGTGCATGTTTGGGAAGATAATTGTGGTGTGTGATGGTCAAATGTGTCTAGAGTGTAATCTGCAGCCAAAAAAGTGCTCAGTCCTGTTATTGGTAATATCTGTTTTAGAGACATGTCCTAAGGAGATAAGCCGAAATGTGAAATAAAGAATTTATGCACAAAAAATATATATTGTGGTAGTGTTTGTTATTGAAAAGAAAAAATGGAGACAACCTGACTGTCCCCAAACAGGGCAATAGCTGTGGAATTTAGGGCCCCTTAAAAGAAGGAGTATTGGGACGGGGCTGTGGTTCAGTGGTAGAGTGCTTGCCTTGCATGCATGAGACACTGGGTTCGATCCCTGGCACCAAATAAAAATAAACAAATAAAATAAAGGTATTGTGTCCATCAATAACCAAAAAAAATATTTAAGAGAAGAAGGAGGAGTATTATAAGGCCTTTAAAAATGTCTACCAAAACAATTTTTTTAAAGGTGGCAAAATTCCCATCATATAAAATATCATGCAAAATTGTCTACATGGTATAAACTCAACTCTGCCAAGAAAATTGCAAAGAAATTTAAAGGCAATATGTCACATTGAATCCTCAATTGACTATAAACTTGATGTTTCAGGATTTTTTTGTGTGTGTGTCTGATTTTGGTTTTGTTTTCAGTTTTTGTTTTTGCCTCTCTATTATGTTTCACATTTTGTACCATAAGCAGATAGAGCAGGAAAAGAGTTTAACCAAACAAAAAGTCTTTTGTAATCAGGAGTTGCTCCATTCATAAGCCCCGGGGTTTTAAAAAACAGTTGAGAATCTGGTCTCACCCCCAACCCCTGAGGCCCAAAGTAGAGAAGGAGGGGAGTGACAGTGAGCACTGTACAGGGGGTGACCCAGGTGAGGTCACCTAGGGCTCCTGGCCCTGATGGGAGGTTAGTTCTGGGAGGGAGAGAGCAGTACCCTCCTCATCTCATTCTCCTCACCCCTGAGGCAGGACCCACCCCTCTGGCCAGCCCACACTTCACTGCACCCTGGCTCTGACTTCTCCACTCCATGGAAGAGTTGCTGTTCTCGCTCTGTAAGTGAGGACTCTGAGGCTCAGAGAGACTGGTAAGCAGATAGGTAGGTGGCTCCAAGTCCCATAACTAAGAAGCCAGGGTTCATCTCCAGATAGTCCGACTCTAGGCTGCAGAAGAGGCCACCAAGGTTGGATAAGGTCACCCTCAGCAGTCAGTAAAAGGCGGGGCTGGGACTTGAAGCCAGGCCTGTGACTCCGTAACACATGACAACCCAAGGGTGCAGCTCACCCAAAGGAGTGGATTGCACAGCGGGAGTCCTTTGCAAGGTGGGAAGGGTACCTGGGAAGGTCAGTGCCTCTATCCCTGCCATTCCTCTTTCTTCGGGTCTCTGAAGACCGTCTCAAGAGGCCCTGAGACACTGTGTGAAGAGCAGCAGAGTGAGTGTGCTGACCCAGAGTAAGGAGCTGAAGGCTGTGTAATGGGGTGCACTTTTCCCCTAGGGGTGGCCCCTGCTAGTCGCTGCACCTGCAGGCAGTCCCCACTCAGCTCCTGCCCCTTGGCTTCTCATCCACAGCATAGACAGGTCACTCTGGGTTAGCCATCCGGTTCCCAAGCCTCAGCCCACTCTCTGTGACCCAGGGTCCTGTGGCCATCCCTGTGCCCTCCCCAGGTGGTCAGAACAGTATGAGAGAGCTTTGCAAAAGGAAGTTGCTTAGAGAATAGACTAGCAACTCAGCCTGCAGGTATCGCCACACAGCCTCAGCTTGACCTCGTTGTATTACCTCTATGCAGGGTGAACTCTGGACTCTCAGTTTCTTCTCCTGTGCTGTGGGGGACAGGGCAGGTGCTGTAATCAAATCTCCTGCCCAGGAGGCTAGAAAAAGTGAGTGTAGATGGAGGCAGCCCCACAGGTCTGCTCTCCACATGGCTGGAGAAGCTTCCAATCCAGATCTCTTGAAAATGAGCAGAGGAACCCAGAGAATGAGCCAGTATCCAGAAGCACTTTTTTTTATTTTTTGAGGTGCTGGGTATTGAACCCAGGGCCTTGTGCATCTGAGGCAAGCACTCTACCAACTGAGCTATATCCCCAGCCCCTGAACCACTTTTGGCAGGCAGGAACACTCCAAGAAGAATCAGTTTCACCTGTCAGCTTCTCATCTGCTCTCCAAGGCATTGAGATAATGCACCTTTTGCTACCAGATCCTCTTCAATTTTATTCAGCAAATATTTACTGAGCATGTGCTTCTTGCCAGACACGGTTCCCTGTGCTTTGTTTGGTCTAGATCATTTGCATAAAAATAAATAATAAACAAGCAATTTTCCCCGGTCCCCCGCAGGAAGAGCAGCGGCTTCTGGAGGAGTTGAGGGCTCTCTTGGCCCTTTCAAGATTTAAAAACCTGGTGTCCGCCCACGTCTGAGTGGTTCGGAGCACTTAAGCCGATTCCCAGTCCCCCTCCTAGTCCTCGGAAGCCAGATCCCAGCGAGGATGAGAGAGGAGGGGAGGGCAGAGTGATAGTGCCAACCAGGGCCCACGGGAAGAGCCCAAGAGACACATGGGGAGCAGAAAGACAACCCTGATGATGGTAGGATGGCGCAAGGCCTTTTCTGTGTCATCCTTGCCCTCTCCGTTTCCCAGTTCGTGCTGTGATCTCTGCGTGACCAGAGGGAGCAGTCGGCTAAGACCCGTCCACGTTCTCCACCAACCTCGCGTCCTGGAGCTGTAGTTCCCCGGAATGTCCACCAGAGGGCAGCGCGGTCCGCATCCTTCTTACCAACTCCCGGGCTCAAAGAGGAACCTGTCGCCCAAAACGCGCACGCCCGTGCTCACTCGCGCTCGGAGGACTGCGGCTTGTGGCATCTGTGGCGTTTTGGGCCCTGCGGGAAGCAGGTGTTGAGATGCAGTTAAGAGCTCAAGGGGTTAATTAGGAGCTTCCACCTGTGAAAGCTGGGGAGGGAAGAGGAAAGGGGGCAAGACGAGCCTCGGTGGTTTGCAGACCTGACAGTCCCCCAACCCAACGGGGAGATCGGGAGCCCGGGCAGCCCTCTAAAGAGTCCCGCCGTGGGTCGACGCGGCCGGGTCCTGGTTCTCTTACCATGCTGGGAGACTCCTGGGAAGATCCCTCGTCAAAAACTGAAGGCTGTCCCCGAACTGGGCTTCTGGCCGCCGATACGCAAGTCCTTTCCTGAAGACTGCAGCCAGCCCCGTGCGGCCGGCCGCGATGCCTCAAGCTCTGTCCTCCACAAACAGCCTATCGCCCTCTCTCTGGTTGGGGCGACCAGGGCCCCAAGCCAGCTTTCTAGGACCTGGAGAGCGGGGTGCTGCCATAAGCAGCCCTTGTCATAGGTTCACAGGAGGGAAGCCTGCTGACAACCTGGGGCACCCCGGGAACTCGGTTCCTGGCCCCCACCGTGTGGTGGGATCTGACTTTTCCATAGCACTTTGGAGCACTCCTCCTCACCAGCCCCCAGGGTTGGGGTCTAAAAAGGGAATGTGGGACGGACCACACTGACCCCCAAGGGGAAGGTACAGGAGCTCTGGTGGTTTTAAGGAAGATCATGTCTCCCTTATCCCCAAGCACAACTCCTCCCCTCAGTGAAAGGGAGTTTGAAGGGGGATTTTCCAGAATCAGACATTAGAAGGCCCAGGGAGATAAGGTGGGGGTGGAGAAGGCCTGGGCTGGGAGGAGTGGGGAAGCTCCTGCATATGCCACACTGGGCTGCCCCCCTCCTCCCAGGGCCTCTTAGGCACCATGATGCCCATCTGCCATTTTGGAGTGCTTGGACAGTGCCTGCAGCTCTGCTCTCTCAGGTCCAGATGGTCACCCCATGCCTACCTCCCCACTCTCTCCTCTGCCCTCACCCACAACTCCACTCAGAGAAAAGGCCTGGACGAAATCCCAATGGCTTCCCTGCCCCCAGCCTCTTTTCTTTCCAGCTAACTGGCACCCAATGGGACAGGTACCCATGGTTGTCATGGAGACCTGGCCTGCCAAACCTCCTCAGCCTTCTTGGGCGGGAAGTGGGGGGTGGGGGGGCAGACAGATATCAAGATACAGAGAGCAGGAGAACATGCAAAGAAACCCACGTACATGGGCACAAATGCACACGTGGAAAGCACAGGAGAGGGTAAGCAGAGTGTACCAGGCTTGCTGTGACCATGATTTATTATTGTGTACAGGACTGAGAGAATGTAAACAAGTATGCAAGTGTGTGCAGGGCCACGTGTCTGAATAGAGCGTGTTTCATTGGGTCTGAGTATATACTTATCTATACTGCTACTTTGGTGTATAGTAGTGCACGGAAAAGTGTATTTAGTAAAGATGTGCCTGCGAGGGTGTGCACATACATACAAATGTGAATGGGGGTGCGTGAGCGCCCTGTTCCCCCACAGGCTTTAGCCCCTCCCTACCCCAAAGGCAGTACCATTGGGTACTGGGGCCCAGGGACCCAGGACAAAGTCTAGATGATTTTGCCTCCTGCTGCTCCTTCCCATGCCTTCATGTCTGGTAGCAGGACAGTCTGGAAAAACCAGCTGGCTGATTCCCAGGACTGCCTAAGGTGCTAAGCCCTGGGTAGACCCAAGGTGGGAGTGGGGAGTCTTGGGAAACCCAAGAAAGAGCAGAGTAATTGGTTCAAAAGCCTGGCTGAGCCCCCTCTGCTTCCTGGTAAGACTGAGCTGCCCTTCCCCATTCCTCTTCTCCTGAGCCTACAGTTCCTTGTGCAAAGATTATATTTCCCTCTGAACCAGGAGGCCTTCCAGAGTAGGTCCCCCTTAAGTCAGAAATTCTCAGAGTATAGGGCCTTTGTCTACCTCTTTATTGGAATAGGATTTCCAGATAAAATATAGAAGCCCAGTTAAAATTGAATTTGATATTTTAAAAAATTAGTATAAAAGATTCCTAAATATTATATAGAAAATGCTAATACTAAAAAAAATTGCTCATTGTTCTCTGAAATGCAAATACAACAGGGGACCTAATGTTTTTATCTGATAAATCTGGTAACCCTATAGTGGAAGCCCCTCAAGACAAAAATAGGTTAAAAGTGAACTAATGAATAATGATATTCTATGCAAATAGTAACAATAATAGAGCTAAGATGGCTCTACCAATATGAGAAACAGACTTTATTACAAGAGATAAGAAGAACATAATACATTCATAAGAGGGCCAATTCTTCCAGTAAATAGATCATTTATAAACATATATGTACCTAACAACAGAATCCCAAAATATATAAAGCAAATACTGACAGAGTTGAAAGAATAAAACAGTTCTACAATAATAGTTGGAGATTTCAATGCCCCCACTTTCAATAATGCATGAAACAACTAGATGGAAAAATCAGTGAGGAAATAGAGGACTTGAACATTATAAATCTAGTAGACCTGTAAACTCATGTTCAAATTTAATCCCCATTATGCAATATTGATTAAGAGGGTAGAAATTTAATTTGACTGTAGGATTTGAGTTGGGACCTTTGGAAGATAATTAGGGTTGAATGAGGCCATAAGGTTGTGGGTATAGTCCAATAGCTATGGTTTTATAGGAAGAGACCTGAGCTGGCACTCAGTCCTTCTTACCACGTGGTAATGACTTGTGCTACCTCAGGACTCTGCAGAAGAATCTCAAAAGATGCAGCCACCTCATTCTGAACTTCCCAGCCTTCAGAACTATGAACCTGATAAACTCCTTTTCCTTTTAAATTACTCAGTCTGTGGTACTTAAGTATAGCAATAAGAAGTGGACTAAGATAAGACCTCATAGACAGAACATTCCACCCTATTACTGCACATTCTCCTCAATGGAACATTCTCCAAGATAGGCCACACGTTGGGCCACAAAACAAGTCTCAATGGATTTCAAAAACTTAAATCATTCAAAGTAACTTCTCTGACTATGGTGGAATAAAACCAGGAACCAATAGCAGGAAGAAAACAGGAAAATTCACAAATATGTGGAAATTAAACAAACCCTCCTAACCATTGTGTCAAGAAATCACCAGGGAAATTGAAAAAATTATAAAATACTTTGGATCAATAAAAACAAAACCACAACATACTAATACTTCTAAGACTCAATGAAAACAGTGCTTAGAGGGGAATTTATAGCTGTAAATGACAATATTAAATAGAAAGAAAATTCTCACCTCACAGGAGGAGAATAAAAAGAGCAAACTAAATGTAAGACAACTCAAGGGAGGGAAATAATAAAGATTTAAGTAGAGATAAACAAAATAGAGAATATAAAAACAATAAAGCTAATGAACCCAAAAGTTGGTTCTTTGAAAAAATTGACATACCTTTGCTGATAACTCATAGTTACTGGGTTTGCTCCAATATCAAATATTGAAAACAATGCTTATTAAATAATAATTAATGAAAAGTGTTAATTTTCAGTATCCCTATTTTTCAATGATAAATATATGATTATTTAGCATATTGATCAGACAATGTTCATAAGAGATAGCCATCTACAGTTTCCTTTTCTCTTGATGTCTTTGGATTTGGTGTTGGGATAAAGTTGGCTTTGCAGTATGTATTAGGAAGTTCTCTCCTCTTTCTTGGAAGGATTGGTATTGATTCCTCTTTAATGGTTAGTGGAATTCACCAGGGAAACCATCTTATCCTGTGCTTTTATTTGTTTGGGGGGATGATATTATTAGTAGTAGTAGTAGTGTAAGGGTCCGGCAAAAGTCAGAGGAACCAAGAGACCAACTCATGCAACCGCAGAAGGGGGTTTATTGAGAATCCAGCATGCTGGGGCTCCACGCTCACTCAAGAAGGGAGAGCAGCCCAGAGCCCCGAGCAGGGGTTGAGCAGTGCTTAAGTACACTTTTTTGGGGAGGGCAGGGACTTTGCATACATCAGAGCAAATCATCAGGAGGCGCGGGAAAATCAAACAACAATTCCCAAACATGATTAATCCATTCATTGGCAGGAACAGGTCGGGCGGGAGTGATAGGTCAGTCCTAAGAAGGGGGGTACATTCAAACTGATTGGTTTGGGCCCTGAATGCCTACGTGCCAAACTGCACAGAGTCCAGGTTATTTAACAACTAAATGGTCAGTACCGGGCATTGTCTTAACTGCCTCAGGAATTTCAAGTTCTGTGTGCAGTTCAGAAACTTTACAATACCTAGTCCTTTACATTTTAACTCAGGCTTTGCAGCTTAGAAACTTTACCCTTTCAGTAGTAGTAGTATTTATTGAATCCCTTGACTTCTGATGGGTCTTTTGGATTTTCTATTTCTTCCTGAGTCAGTTTTGGTAGCTCATGTCTTTCTAGGAATCTGTCCATTTCTGTTAGCTTATCTAGTTTTTCCATATATACTTGTTCACATTCTCTTTTAATCTTTATTTCTGTAAGGTTGGCAATAATCTCCCCAATTTCATTTCCAATTTCGGTAATTTGACTCTAATCTCTTTTTATTGGTCAACATAGCCCAACACACTTAGACTCAGCTGTTGTATACCATTTTTAGCGAGTAATTTCATAGCAGTGAAATCTTTCAAGTTTTCTTCTGGCATAGTTTTTGTCTCAGTAGATTCAAAATTATCAGTGATGACAGTTGTTGTAAGGGATGAAGAAAGAAGGCGTGAGGTGTTGGGGTGCCTTCTAAAGCAGCAGGTCAGGTCACATCATTGTTCATCTCTCAGCCACTTTCTCTGATTCTTTGCAGAAGAAAAATGTCAGAAGCATTTTCCAAGTAGAGTAATTTTTTTTCTGGTTAAAAAAAAAAGGAATTGGTAAATTTTGACTAAGGAAACAGTTGAAAAACAATATCACCAATCCTGCAGAAACAAAGATAGAGAGGGTATTGGAATTTCTGAAATTTACTGAGAAAGGAAACCCCCAGAATCTCTGTCAAACTGCCCTTAAGGTTCAGATTTTCCTATTTGTTTGTGTATCTGTTGCTTCATAGGGAAGGAACTTTTCAATGTTGAAGCATTCTTTAATCAGCTGTGAGAAAAGAGAGATGGACAGACAGGACTTTACTACCTGTTGAACGTGAATTTGAGATCTGTTCTGATATTGTCATTCAGAGATTTGCAGAAGTTCTACTATTATTTACTGCTGTGACTGACTAACACGTAGAGAAATTTCCCCTTTCAAAAGCACATTAATTAAAAGTATTAATTCTCTACTATTTTCTATTTTGTAATTTTTACATTTCAATTTCGTATTGACATGTATATAGAATTCAACAAAACATTTTTTTTTCTGTCTGCATTTCTTTTCCAGCCATTTGTACTATTTCTTTCACTGCAAGATTTTAAAGTGAGTTTGTAGCGCAGAGGAAAAAAATAGTCCCTGATCCTGTTGTCAGATGTACCAGAAAGGCCACTGACTCCCAAGGGTATTTGTCTATGGTCCCCACACCTGCCTTTCTCCCTTCTGGAGCCTTCCAGCCAAGCATAAGCCAAGCATAAGGTATAACCTCCATGGGGCATCCCAGTCTTTGATGATGGCTCCTCTGCCCGGGGCTTGGCTGCCCCTCTCCTGTGTGGCTCCCAGGCAGCAGGAAGGCCACCGGGGCAAAGAAGGGAGGGAGCCTTGTGGTGTTAGTTAGGGCTAAGGAATCCCCGCAGCCCCTTCTGCACCTCTGAAGGAAGGCAGCTCAGAACCAAGCTGGCTCTGCACTTGGCAGGCTGAAGCCAAGCAGTTAACCCTTCCCCACAACTGGGTCCTATGCCTGGATGAGGAGAAGTGGCAGGAGACAGAGGACGTCATGATAACGAAGCAGTCCGCACTCTGTCCAGGCTGGGACCCTTCCTTAGTACATGGGTGCATCTTACTCATTGACCTTCATAACACGGTAGGTTCTATTAGCACCCATTTCACAGCTGAGATGGAGCCA